TTTTCTTCTTAATCTTGAAGCCAAAGAGGATCTAGCAAATCCCTCTTTGGTTCTTTTGAGATTGTCTTCGTGTGGACTACGCAGGTTCGATCCTACACTTGGATCGATAGCAAAACGTTCGACGACAAATTTGGAGGAGCCTTCAACGTGCGTTTGTTTCTCTTAACTCATGTTGTATATTTATGCAGATTTTATTTAATATAAATTGTTAAAATCATACCCTTGATCTTGGCTCATGTAAACGATCTTGTTATATTATTTTTTTGTTTCCGCTGCGTATACGGGACCGTTTACTAACATAATTAATCAAGAACTTACAATTACAAGAACAAAGATCAATCAATCTTTCACTCAATCACAACCAAAACTCACTTTGTAACTCCTAATTTAGATAAACTCTTTTTAGTATCTCTAATATTTGAGAGAATAAATAACCCTCACAGAATAACTAATAACTAATCACTTACTCACTGAAACTACGCTGATTTTTAGACTGAAAACTAAAAAATTTGAGAGCACTCTATTTTTCACAAAAAAGGGTAGAAGACTGATTTGTTACTGGGGGCTGCTCGTAATGTTGACTTGAAGTGTAAATCTCAGCCATTGGATCACTGTTGCCATCAACGATCAGCATTCTCCCAAGCATGTTAAAAACGACAGCGCACAACTTATTCATTTTAAGCATATGAGACAGCGTTTTAGTGGCTTCACTTCAACGTGTGTTTTCTGATCTGATTGTGTTTTCTTTATTAATGTGATCGGTTGAATTTTATTGAAAATTCGAGCTTTTTAAAACTGATGCTCAATATTTCACATAACTCCCCTTCTTACCTCTCTTATTTTGTATTGTATTGTTGTCTGTTTTACATGTTTAGTCTCAACTCATCTTTAATTTGTTTTATGTTTATGTAATTGATGAAAAACTGAGATTTAGTTTGATGGGCAAAGTGATATAGAACGCCTAGCAGATGAATTCTTAGATAGGGTTAAGGATTAAAAGCCCAAACATTGACATATCAATTTTAAACAACCATAACTTTTGATCCAAAAGGAGTTACGGGGGGCCATAATATATTAACGGAAAGCTCATTTTGAGCCCTACGACGTGAGCTCAAAATCCACTGTTCCGGCGTATTTCGGGGTTTGTTTTTAGTTTTTTGCATGTTTCTTCCTATTATATTTAGGATTTTCATTTTTTAATTAATTTGAATTTTATTTTATTGTTTATTGGGAGTCTTGTTAGGGTTGGTTGATACCATATATAAACCTATTATTCGTTTTTTATTATTCAGATATTATTTCAGATTTTAAGACTTAAGTTTATGTGATTGTGACTTGTTTATCAATTTTAAAGATATAGTTGAGTGTTAGCCTTGTTGTTATGCTAACTCGTTGCGTGAGACAAAGTGATTAATGTCAACCTACTCCAATTCCTGTACAAGTGCGTATGCAAGAGTGAACGATTCTACATTTGGGCTGTGACGACATATTGTCCATAGTCAACAACATGGGTTGTTTGTGTACTTGTAAGAAGCTTGCTAATCTTGTCACTAGGATTCTCCATTCCTAATTGGAGCAGTGTATGTTATAATTTGCCAAGTTGCTATCCTAATGTATGTTGTATCGTTGCCAGCTTTTCTTTTTTTTTTTTTTTTTTTTTTATATTACTGTATTTTTAAAATTTGGGTAAGTTTGCATCGTTTAGTGCATTAATCACAGGTGTTGCTTGATTAGAGTGGGTTGCTCTTGAACAATTGGAATCGTTAGTTAGGCTGAATTGTGTTGTGCACGAATTTTTTTCCCCTTTTTGATTGCTTCTTTATGTTCTTTCTATTTGTTTATAAGAGGTGTTTGTCAGGGTTCCATTGAAGCCACTTGTTTAACCTTGGGCCCTGGCCTTAGTTACACTGACCTTAATGACTTTTGTTTTTAGATAAAGAGTGCAATAAATAGAACATTTAAATAAGATAGTTGCTGCCTGCACTCTCCAGTTTAGTGTCACGTTTGTCAAAATGTTTTAACTTTTGTATTTGTTATATAATATATTATAAGATAGTTGTTGTCTGCACTCTTGTTATGTTTACTTGTTTCATAATTTCAATTGCCGGGTTTTCGATACTTTTAAGATGACTCATGATATTCTTTATATATCAATAATACTGTGGCTTTTGAGTTCGCTTTAGTAATTGCTCAATAAATCGAGACTCACTTCGATCAAATAATCTTTGTTATACTCTCAAACTTGGTTGTATGATATGAATTAAAGGAATGTTAACAAATATTCATAGGTTTTATTATTTTTATTTATAATATTTATAGTTATTAATTGTAGATGATGAATGTAGATGATGATCTTTATCATGTGCCATTACTAATCTGGAGATTTACGGAATCAAGGGAATCCATTAATACCACCATTGTGGAATGAACATGAGTTGGCCAAGAATCTCTATAGTTGAACGATGCCAAGTTAAATTTATATTATGTTTTTGTATCTGTTTATTATTTTTGTATTTGTGTTTTTGAGTTTATGTATTTTATTTTTTATTGTTGGTAGTAGTTTGTGATGTTAGAATATGTGTGTGTTTTAAATTGATGAGAAATTGAGTTGTTGTGTGTTGAATTGAATGAATTTGGAGGAGTTGATTAGGGGTTTGATAGTAACAAATAAAGTGCAGAAATTGTGAGTTGTAATTGTAAAATGAAACTGCAATGAAAAAATTAGACTACCTACGGGTTCACCCTTACCCGCATAAGGAAGGGTATGAGTCCAATATTAGGCCCGTTTAGAATCACTCGTTTGGGGCGCTACCCATTGGATGTGTACTCGTTGAGCCTGACATGTACCCGTTTGGGCCCGGTCCGCCTGCTTTGCAAGTTTTCGTTTTACCTTTATAAAGCATTTGGATTTTGGGCTGAGTTCTTTTGTTCTTGGCTTTGCCTGTTGGCTTTTTTATTTTGCCCCTATTTTGGGCAAATATACAAGCGTTTTAATCATAATTCTGACGTATCGATATAAAATTAATATCTTCTCCAAAGTCCTGGAAAATATCAAAACAGAGGATAAGACGCAACGAAGATTCTGGATACTCAAAGACGACTCTGCAACCACTCATAAATAAAACTAGAACCCAATCCTCTTCAACTCCAAGATCAAAAACACTTATAATTCTGAATCAATTCACAGCTCCAATGGCTGACTTTTTTCCATTTCGTCGTTTCTTCTTGAGCCCTCCTGTCTTCCTTGATGGTCAGGACATCCCCCTCATGGATTGGCTTGAATCTCCAATGCCCACATCTTCAAAATCAACGTCCCAGGTACTCTCTCCTATTTTCCATACGCATGTTTTTATAAATGTTTTTGTGTTGTATTTAGGTGGAATTTATTTGATTGAACATTTTTGTTTGATTGATCAATAGGATTGATCAAGAGAAACATAAAGGTGCAAATAGAAGATGGGAACGTAATGCGGATAACAGGAGAGGGAAGTAAAGAGGAGCAAAATGGGAAAAACACGGTTTGGCATGTAGCTGAAAGAGGAACAGGAAAAGGAGAATTTTCTCGAGAAATTGAATTGCCGGAAAATGTGAAGTTGGATCAGATCAAGGCCCATGTGGAAAATGGTGTTCTCACTGTTGTCGCTCCAAAAGATGCAAGCCCAAAGCCCAATAAAGTTAGGAATTTAAACATTAGCAAGCTCTAGGATTTAAGCTCTTGAAAATGGCCATGGGTTAAGAATAACAACAGTTCTTCGTGTGGTATGTGTTGTAATAAAAAATAAATCTCACTCAAACTAGTGCACGTATCTATCTGAGTATAATTATTCAATTTTAATATTATAAATGTGTCGTGAAGATGAGGTTTTGAAAAGCATTACGTATTCGAAGACTATAATTATCAAGTTGAATTTATTACTTGGAAAAAAGAGTTATGTTCACATTATTTAATGAACTTGTGCTTTTATTGTCTATCATCTCATTGAAAAACAATGTCAGTAAGAATTATTGGTAAAATAATCTAAAGTGATTAGGTTTTTATGTTTGGATATAAGTTCAAAACTCTGATTTATATGAATAATGTATAACTGTTAGACGATGGAATTGTCATATATCTTTAAATCTTTTAAAGATCATGTAAAATTAGAGTAATAGATAATCCAAATCCAGTGGGTAATGGCAATGTTTTAAAACCCAATCGTCTGGGCCTTCATCGGGTTGGGTTACTAATTTTCCTATTTATCGAAAACCTTAGAAATTAGGATGATGATTGACGAATAATTGAAGGTTGAGATGCTGGGGGTTTGAAGAGGAAGGGTCAGTGAGTGCAATGGTGGCGACAAAGGTGATTTCCAGTGAATGAATTGATCGAAAATCGAAAAAAATTGGCGATGGCAATAGTCGATTGTTGCTGGCGATTGGCGAGTTGAACGGGGGTGAGGTGAGATGGGTTTTGATCAAGAGGTTAAGGGGAGTATTTTCGTGATAATGTGGAGGGTTGTCGACGCTAACAATGGTGAGATATGGTCAAAGTTGTCGAAGCTGGCTGTGGTATTGTTAAGAAAACTAATACCTCAAGTCATTTAATTAATTTTTAATAATTTAACTAATCAAAGTTTAAGTTTTAATTAGTTAATTAAGAAAGAAGGACCCACTAATTAATCCTTAAGATATGTAGTTGGTGTTGTGATTTATGATTACATAGTTGTACCAATTGATTGGTGTACTTACTTTTTTTTTTTTTTTTTTTAAATTATTACTATACTGTAAGGGGAATTGGGTAGAAACAATAAGCTACCAACAAGGTTAAATAATTAAATATAATAAGTATAATATATTAATAATCTGGGGTTAAACTTTACAAGGACAGCAGTTTGTCGATAACAATATTTACAATGAAAAATAACTAAATTATGGATCAAGTATCATATGAGATCGCTTACTGCTTAATAAACAGATTTAATACTTATGCAAACAAGTGAGATTTTTCAATGTAAATTGCAGAGATTGCATGTATGATTTAACTCCTCATGCAATATTTTTTATTATTTACCGCTACATAAAGATAATATAGTTTTACGGTGATCGGCAATCGACAAGAAGTCAAGTGTCAGAGTGAGAGAAGTTTTATAGAGAGGATATCAGATGGTTCAAATGGTAGTGACAGAGAGAATTTTTGCCACCAGAATTGGCCAGAATAGGCTTTGGGTAGTAACAGAATATTAACTTTGGGTGAGAAAGTGGTATTTTGAAACTTTTAGGTGGGAAATTAATTAAGGCAAACCTTGGGTGGGAAAAAGTTGTTTACTAAAAAATTAACTATTATTGGAAAAACATTAAGTGATGTTGTCGCCATCGGCCCCTCACCATTTATTTTATTACACATCTTATCCTTTTTAAGATGACTAACATAGACAAATTAAAATAATAATTATAATCAAAATAAGATCCCTAATTTCCCTTATAAATTATAAAACCTTATTTTAGATCAATATTTTTCAATGTCTCCTTCCTTATTTTTACTTCAACTTGTTTTTCTTTTTTTCCTTTTTTTTTAATTGATAAAACAAAACAAAAAATGCGTTATCTTTTTGAATAATGTAAATATTTCTTAAATTGTTTTCGCAATTTCAACATTTATGTAAAATCGTGCACTTTGTGTTATTTCAGCTATACTCCGCTTGCAGCTCGCACAAGTGATTCTCGGGATTAGCCAAATCATGGCATAATCATGAAGTTCTTAAAGTTCAAATCTTGAACCTTAAGAACTAGGGGGTTTCTGTTATGCCTGAAAAATCAGGGTTGACATAGACTCACGTCAACGAGGACCAATTAGAGTTTAGGAAGGCATTATGTCGTCTAGACGCTGCCACGTTGTCCAAGGTCAGAAGGAGTAAGGTTGTCATCCGCTTGGCAAGTAAAGGCCAGGCGAGTGAGTGGCTGGGAGTCACACACTTGCCAAGGCCCTTCTTGTGAATCATTTTCATTTATTATGCAACATTCATATTATAGCAAAATGATCCAGGAAGGCAAAATGGAAAACGTAAAGACGTATCATTCTCAATTAAAACAAACAGAATTGCATGATTGTAAACTGTACAAGAAACTAATTTACTCTTAAACTCAGATTTGCCCAAAAAGATTTTATTCAATTTTGGGATTTGCCCATTTCTTCATTTTTATTTACAGACTATATTATCCTAATGAAAGGATATGCTTAACTGACTACATTTTACAAGGATAAAAATGGGAATTAAATCTCAAGTGTCCCATTTCATCTTTCATAGAAAGAAACCATTTACAAGGTGATGCATATGCATATGCAAATGCAGAAGGATAAAAGAGCTCCATTGGGAAGAGGGAGAAGAGGAAGTAGTACTAGTTGTTAGAAACAGCAAACATATCGCTTCGCTAGTCCTTTAGGGACATCTGAAAATGGTGAGAAGCAATATACTGTTGATGCTGGGGTGGGGTCAGGCAACTCCTCCAATGAACTTGCTCTTAATCTGGAGGATTCTGTGAGCATCTTTACTCTTCTGCTCTCAGTTTTCACCGCATTGACATTAATGTGCCAACTCTTTTCTCCATCTCAGCTTTCCTAGCACTTGGGGTCCTCTTCAGTTTTCCCAATTCCTCCATTATGACTTTCTCAACTTTGTCAATTGAGTTCAAAAGTTTCCTCTGAGGTGTGAGAGATTCTAACTCTCCACCAGCCTGATTTGTGATGATATGAAGCAAAATCTTAGGGGGAATATGCTTCTTATGGAAAGTTGGATTTGGGGACAGCACTGAAGTATTGTGCTCTAGCTGAGCACCTGCCAGTGGCTCAGGGGTGTCAACTACTCTTTGATCCTGAGACATTGGACTTTCCATCTGTAGACCTTCAGCTGCTCCCAAGCGAGCTCCTCTCCTTTCAATCGCCTGATGAAAGCCAGAGTTAGAAATCT